CCCAAGGTCCATTCTCCGTTCCTTCCAGTCCTCCCTGTCCTGCCTTGATTTTGTTCTGGCCAGTGGCCCCTGTGGTCCTCCTATGTTTCCATCCCTGTCACCGTGGTTCCTTTACCTGTCTGCCCTGTCCTGTTATCTGTCTTGTTGGGTGTCCTCTCTGCTGTTCCTGGTTTGCCCCACCTGGCCAAGAAACTTTACCGCCCCTCTTTAGCCCCAGCCCACAATTTTCCTGCCAGCATCCTCCATTCGGCAAATTTATTGCTGTTACCCTAACGCCCCCCCCCACCCCAGCCAACACTAGACTGGGACAGTATCTACTTTTTATACCGTCAAATTGTCCAGACATACTGCAGTATATGGTATTTTGATGGTACTTTAAAATGCAACACTATTCTGTGTTTCCTGATGTAACTGTCTGGGGGCAGGGTTATTACCATGGTACAGCCCTAGCCTAGCCTAGCCAGTCCCCCCTGGTTGTCCCTTATCCACCTCCCTGAAATCAATATGCCTAAGGTTGGATGTCTGCAATAATGAATTCCTTTTCCACTTGCTCCAGCGATGGGTTGGCACTCCATCCTGGGTTATTCCCTGCCTTGCACCTGATGTTTCCAGCATAGGTTCCAGACCCCTGCAACCCTGCAAATGACAAAAAGATCAACAAATAAAGTTCCACTTGTCTAAACCAGTTGTGATTCTTTTTTCATTAAATTTCATTGCTTTTGTGTGACACGTGCCTCCAGTCAGAAATCCCTGCAGCCTCATCCATCCAGACCATCCCCGGGCTTCTATACACACCTGTTTGTCCTTCCAAAGCCCATGTGGGGTCCTAAGCGAGCTTCACTGCCGGCGTCCCCTGTCTAAGACATACAATAGAAGAATAGAATTAAATATCTTTATTGTCATTGTATAGGTACAACAATACTCTGTGTGCTTCCCACCAAAGGTATGGAAGATATATATAAAAAAAAAGAAAATAAAATGAAAAATAATAGTATGGACAATATAGATGTGCTGTATCAAGCTGAAAGGTGAATCAAAGTGCAGTAGTGCAATCACATATTCTCCAAGCAGCATTAAGCAGTGTAGATTTTGTTAAATTAGCAGCTATGAAATTGGCTTGCAATGTTTGCACCTTCTCAGTAGATGGCGCCCTGAACAGTCGCCTATGTCATCTAATGCCTCGGCACTTGGATCTAGCATCTATGCCTGCACATCACAATTATTAATTCTCCCCAGGATCACTCCCCATGAATCATTTGAACAATAATAAAATATGTTATACTAAAGTATATATTCGTTTTGCCAAATTTGTGCCCAAAGGTGTTGATAGTGTCCTTGTTTAATTGCCAATTTAGGTCTCTGCGTGTTTAGCTCTCCTAATGATGAACATAAAAATCCCCAGTGATGTGGTTGTTCAAACAAAACCCAAACTCAAGATCCCAGTGACAAGCCAGTCAGCATCAGTGACAACTGGAAGTGGCTCAACTCTGGGATATGCAGAATCGCGTTTATGGCTATTTTGAGAGCACAGCTGATCTAGCAGCGTTTCCTCGCACAGCAGAATTTATTCATACCATACCTGCAGGGTTATGGGTTTGAAGACAACCCAACCTTTGTGAGACCTCCAGGTGAACCGGTGACTCGAAATGCACCCCCCGGAGCGTGATGTGTGTGACTGCCCATGTCACGTACAAGTGTTTCTTCCAGGACATCCCTTCTCCCGCACCTGATGTTCCCTGTAATGTATTTTGGATCAGCATGACCCAGATTTCATAAGCTCTATATGAATCAGTGAACTTTCCTCTTCTTCAGCATTCCTTCCCACACTCTACGGTAGAAACACCAACCGTTACTGCTGCGGTTATTTTATTGTGACTTGATGAGGCAGAGATGCAATTTTCTGGAGAAAACATCAAGCAGTATGAATCAGATTATCCAGTAACATCGGTACCATCTGAAATATCAAGTCAAGAGTGACAAATCAAACAACAAACATCAGGTCTCATCAGGTGAAGAGGGAACATCTGTGTGGGGCCTTTCCAAACATCTACTTGGAAAAGCCTTTCAGATGCGTGTAACAGAAGGAAACAAATCAAGGAAGAAGGGAGGCAAAGGAACAAAGGATTTCTGGTTTAGGTGTGTAATCAGATTTGTCAGAAGTTCCAAGTCCAAGTGTATGAAACGGTACATGGTTTCTAGAGGAACTGTATGAAGAATCTGACATAAATGTTATTTTCAAATGAATAACCACACCTCTATGTCAGTGCAGATGAAGGATTGCTATAACTTCAAGATCTGAGAGATGACCTTTCCAGCATGTGCGTATTTACAACATACAGTACCTCACAGAACAGTCCAGGGCAAATCCCAGTGCTCCTCAAACAGAACAATCCAATTTTACTTGATTTTTGTATTTCTCCATTGTCAGAAGCCATCTTCCCGGATGGAAAGGGAAGCACAGGAGATTTTTACTCAACACCGGGCAAGTCTGGTAATGGTCAAGCCCAGTCAGACACCTGTCAGTCATTGCTCAGCCCCACCCTTTCTGGGCCATTCATCATCTCTTTTTGTCAGAGTGGTGCATCCTGAATCAAAGGCAGTGTGACAGTGTTACACGTCTCTCCATGACAAATCTACAAAGGCTGACCGTGTCCAAGACCCCACACCCTCCAGTCTTATCTAAAAATTAATCCTGATCTGATTTTTGCCCAAAAGCATGCAGAAAAGAATTTGTCTGTGCTTGTGTGTATTTTTTTATGAACTGAGAACTGATTGGACCAGTACTGTTTCATGTGATTCTACCCACAAGGAATAGGTCTGAATTAAGAAAAACATGTTACACTTTAAACGCTTCACCATTTGCAGACTCCCAACAAGTGGCAGAGGAAGCAGGTGACGGTCACGCCTCTTTAATTTCAGAGAAAAGATTCCTATCTACTGGAGATCAAAGAAAAAACCAAAAGATAAAGCCTTTCACTACTTCCAACATCACCTCGTACCAGAAGTACAGTACATATGACAAAAGGGGAAACATACACCTTCCGCCATCACTGGTTTAACCCACCTCCCATTTGGTCAAAGACTTTTCTCTGCTAGTAAATTGCACATTACAATATAAGATCTAAATTTTGGCCTGAGCAGCTCAGGGTTTAAGGGAAGGATATATTTTTTCTTAATGGTGAGTGAATCACCATGTTTGCCTCTACTACAGAACTTACAGTGTCAGATGTCACCGTTTTTAATTACGAAGATAACACAGTTTAATGGCTAAGTGGAGGTGGGTCAGCAATTTTTGAGATTGCCGGAAAGCAAAAAAGGAAATGTTATTTCGATATTTCCGATTCCTTTTGAATGGTTGAAGGGGGGGGGGGGGAAGGGGTTCTGTGGGTGTGGCTCCAGGATTTGTGAAGAAGCATATAGTAAGAACAGCTTCCCATGTTTTGTGGATGACATCCTCACACTGTGAGGATTTCCCACAAGGGTCTTGCCCTGCTCTTTGTTGGGGCATTGACTTCACACCCTGGGTGGGGGAAGGTCACACTTCCTGCCTGGAAAGCTGGGCCAGTATTGTAGTGGCAAAATGAAAAGCCTCCATTAGGCCGCGAGCTCCCTATTAAGGAGATGGAAAGAGCTGGACACATGCAATTATTCGTGTCCACTGGACCGTGGAGATCGAGCAGCTTGGGAAGTGCTGGTTCAGAACTCCCTCAGACTGGATCCAGCTACAGTGGAGGACCTGAAAGCCCCCCCCTCTACAGCTGCCCCAAAGCTCCTCCTGCTCTGACATCAGCAGTCATCTGACACCAGCCCTCCCTCTTGAGTTCCTTGCCCCCTCCACCCTATTCCTGTAACAGCACAGTTCCAGGCACCCCCTATAAGCCAGAAATCAAACCCGCTCCATTTGTCCACTGGAACTAATCGGGGGAATCTGCATCACTATGCGTGGAACAAGAAGCTTAACTAGCTAAGCTAATGACTGAAGTTCACGGCTCATCCAATCAGATTCCTGCATCGGTTCCAGAGGATGACATCATTCCAGTTTGTCTCTGTCTCCAAAGTCTTCGCCGTGCGGGTGGGTAAAAATAAACATGCTGTTAGCTGCTGCTACTGCAGCATCAGCCTGGGGGTACGAAATGTGAAATCCCACATACCCTGGGAGAAACACTGCATTCTTTTCTCTCAGCTTTAAAGCATCAGCATTTAAAAGTTTGAAGATGCCCTGGTGATTACACAAAAGTGCAACAGAAACGTAAATAACAGCATTGAGAACTTGGCAACCTGTATCAAATTATGTTTCTAATGAGTCTTCTGTTTTCTGCTTCTGATGCTAACAGTTAGCTGGGAAGTTAGCATCCTCAATGTCAGACTGGGAGGGGGTGGGATTGCGCATGGACCAGAGCACAGTTGACCAGGGGCGATTCTAGGATTATTTTTTTTTTAAAGGTGAGGGGCATAAGAGAGGCCCCAATTCATACAAAGAGACCTGATAATTAGCCAATGATATTTTTTTAATATATTGATTGGCACTCCAGGGGCCAATCAGCTTCAGCAGGGGCCAGTGCCCCTGTGGCTCCGCCCCTGTGGTTGACCTCCATCCCTAACAGAAATTCGGAGATTGCTGTATGACAGGGTGACAAAGAGGGTGAAAATGGCCTCCCTAAATCAAAAACAGGGCCAGCCGATCTGACAACACACACTCCCTACTAAATGCCAGCTGGACAATTCAATTGGCTGCTGCTGGAGGAACTTAATGAAGGGAGCAGAAACAAAGGGAAATTTGAAAAATAGATTTGTAAGACTGGGGATTTATAAACGGCAATCGGCTAATCTGGCCTAAGCTGCTAATGTAACCCAATATGAGTCTGTAAGCATTATAGCATTGATTCATCTTCTGTACCTGCATAAGCACAGCAGGCTATCGCGGGAGAAAGCGAGCACAGCTCACGCTGAGCGGGATTCCAGACCCTAACAGGGCACATACTGATGGTCAAGATTCAAGAAAAGGTGGGTAAAGAACTGCAGTTTAGAGAGGAGATGAGAATCCCCCCCCCACAGAGTGTGAACATCAGCTGCAGCTGAGAAGCAAGCTACTCGCCATCATGAAGTCCCATCAGAATTCAGCGTGAAATGTCGGGGTACACAAGAGACAGGCAAGTGAGCAAGGAGATCTAAAGCAGAGGCTTAAATATGCAGGAGGTCAGCCATCAGCCACAGTACCCAAACACCAATGGGGCACATTACCAGGAACAGGCAACCCTGCCACCTACAGACCAATTCAGAACACGAGGAATACTCCCTTCAGTCGTTCCCGTACAATCTCATGGAGTTCCACAGCTCCAAGCTCCAAATCCCCCTGCCGCCAACATCATACAACACCAGCATCAACTGCCTCTTTATTTATTTGGTCCTCAGCTACATTTCTCCCCACTTGGCTCATAATAACAACAATAGTAAAGAATATTAGGTACTGCACCATAGGGGGGCGGTAGTGAGCCAGTGAAACGCAGCAAACTCACAACTCTACATAAACTCCTGTGTCTATATTTGAGATGAAGGAGAAGGGACAAAAGGACACAGACAGCAGGGGACCTCCGGCTGCCACACCCGGCCATCATGGCCGTCTTCGGGGGTGGCGAGGAAACTCCAAACATGCATTCGACGCCTCCAATTCTCTACCAACTGCACTTGGCAATTACTGTAGCAGGAGCCTCGCTGAGATCAATTAATTATCCAGGTTGTAATGTCACAATGAGAGAGCTGCCCTGTCATTTCAATAGCCACGTCCACTGGCTCCCAAAAGAGCGGCCCACGCATACGATTCTCAGGCTCGGAGCAATTTAAGTTGTCTTGTTCTAGAGGGAACACTTCCGACAGCGAGGAGCGTACGGCTCTAAAAATAGCACGCATGTTCTCAGCCGGCCCCCAGTAATAAATGCAGACTGCCCTGCCTCCCAAAATGAAGAATAACTACAAAGAATATACTCATAAGTGTTTTTTCACCAAAATCATGAGAGAAGACCTCATGGTGAAAATGTTTAAAGAAGTTAAAAGATGCATACAGGTCTCATGCCTGAATTTTATAACGTTACTTTTTTAGTGTATTGTTCTGAGGACAGCAGCTAGAAATTATTATCACACACTAATCATTCATGCTTTGAAAGAGAAGACATTATGTAAACAGCATTATGCATGTGCTTACATATAAGCTAGATTTAAATAAATGTTTACACTGCTGGCTGATTATGTTGTATCCTCTGGTATGTTTTCAAATTACTCTGAAATTACAAATTAAGCAAAACACAGTAGATTATGGGTGGGCGAGATTTAACCTTAACACCCATAACGAACCGAACAGATGGAACCAGAAAATAACAGGACAGCAAATCATGCGTGCGTCTGAAGCTCCTCGGAGACTTGTTAACCATCCTGCCTGCATTTCGTGGCTCAGTGCTGTGAGTTTCCTCACCCTGTGATTGTGACAGGGTCATTTTTCAATGCGTGCGATTATTCCATGATGAGGTGTTACAGTACACCCCAGACTGCCATCTAGTGGGAAATAAGAAAAATACAGTGCCAGAGACTAGTACAATTGTGAAGTAAGAGAAACATTCTGAATATTTCACAAAATAGAAAGAATTCATAAAAATTCATGAATTTCTACTATAGTTATTCATTATTAGGGCAGATTCAGAGTAGATACAACCCCTCCTTTGGGAAGTCCTTTAAGAACCTTTCAGGAACGAGTCTTGTATCATGGTTTCCACCTGCTCAGCCATGGAGCTGAAGTCTGCCCGGCACGTAGTGTAAGACTGTCTCTTGACGTCCCGCAGGCACTCATTTAGGGCTTCGTGAGTGAGGGGCCGGGAACCATGTGAGCGAAACCAAGCCAGCTGGTCCAGGGGCGCCGTGGGGGGGTTCTGAACCTGAAGGGCACGCAGGATGGCAGGGGCGAACTTGGCATGATGAGCAGTGGAGGAGAAGATGACGGGGCACGTCCGGTCTTGCAGACGGTCTGCCACCACCTTGGCGACAGCTGTGTGTGTGTCCAGGATGTAGCCGGTGCTAGCGTGCACCTCATGGATGGCGGCCAAGCACTCGGCCTCAGAGCACCAGCCGGCCAGCACCTCCGACTGCACTCTCTGGAGCATGGCCTCAGGAAGCTCAAGGTACCCCTTCTCCTCGAGGCCACAGAACAGATCCCTCACCAGCTGTCCATTCTCCTCCAAGGCATGGAAGATGAACCTTTCGAGGTTGGAGGCCTTCAGGATATCAATGGCCGGTGAAATGGATGGTGTGAGCACCCGATTGCGGAGGTCATAGCACCCTGTGGCAATGAAGTCAGCCAAGGCGTGATTGTGGTTGGAAGCACAGATGATCTTTCGAATAGGGATTCCCATGTTTTTGGCATACATGGCAGACATGGCATTGCCAAAGTTTCCTGTGGGGATACAGGCATCAATAGGGTCGCCAAAGCCAATCACACCGTCTCTGACTAGATCCAGGTAGGCGGAGGCGTGGTAGACAACTTGAGGCAGAAGCCTCGCCCAATTAATGGAATTGGCTGTGCTCAGGACTGTGCCATACTCTACCGCCAAATGTCCAGTCAGATTGGTGTCGACAAGCATCTGCTTCACGGCCTTTTGGCAGAAGTCAAAGTTGCCGTGGATGCCCACAGCCTTGGCATTGCCTTCCTGGAACGCCGTCATCTGCAGCCGCTGGATCTCACTCACACCTTCCTCTGGGAAGAACACCAGGACTCCGATCCGCTGTCGGGCGGCATCATGCAGACTAGCAAAGCCGTCCAGCACCGCACCACCCGTGTCTCCAGACGTTGCCACTAGGACCAGGTAGTTGCACATCTGTGGGAGGCAGTGGGTAAAGAGCTGTGGCATAAGTTGCAGGGCAAAGTCTTTGAAGGAGCCTGTGGGGCCATGGAAGAGCTCCTGCACATACTGGTTCTGGACCAGATGGCTCACAGGTGCTATCACAGCACAAGCAAAGTTCTCCCCATAGGCTCGCTTCACCATTGCCTGCAGCTCTGTGGGTGGGATGTCTGTGGGGTGGATGCATTTCTCGAGAAGAATGGCTGCTCTTTCAAGGTACGACATGTGGATCATCCTCAGCCATTCCCGGGGCTCCAACTTCGGAAAACGGTTCCTAGGAACGTACAGCCCACCATCTGGGGCCAACCCTTCGATAACCACATCACTGAAAAACTTTTTGGTGGCCGATTCACCCTCACTGGACCGGGTAGAAATAAAGGTTTCTGATTCCGAGTCCTGATATCTCTTCAGGGCTCGGAGGGCTTTATCTGCCACTTCCTCCTCTGTGTCTCCACAACCACATAAGACTCTGATGTCGAAGCACTGGTTATAGAACCTTTGCCGGTATGCAAGAATGTCCCTCATGGAAACCCCAGGCTCCTGCCCCACTATGCGTTGCACCTTCATCCTGGACAGCCTCTGCAGGATGTCCTCTGTGTCCACGTCCAGGTACAGCACGATGCCTGTACGTCTCAGGTGCGCCATGGCCTCTGTGTGAAGTGGATTTGACCCAGTCAGTGAGACGACACTCCCACAGGCAGAGAAGTTTGACACAGCCGCTCCCTCCTCCTCCAAGAACCGCTGCCCTCCAACTGCTGACAGCTTGTCAGCTACGGACACCCCCCACTGTCGCTCCAGCACGTCGTCATCGATGTCGACGGCAGGGCGCCCCAACTGTTGAGCGATGATCCGTCCAACTGTTGTCTTGCCCGCTCCAGGTGGACCCATCAACATGATGTTCTTCTCAGACTCAGGGAGGGGGTACTGTGAATGCAACCGTGCAGACAAGGGGAAAGGGAGCGGCGGACCAGGGGCCAACATCCGTATAACGGAGAACACCCCCCTAGACACAAGGCTGCCCCCCAGCCACTGGGAGGATAAGCATATCATCTTGAGAAAACGGTATGGAAACATCAGGGACAACCTGAAACACAACAGCAGAAAATCCAAGCAGATACTGAGAATCCAGTGGGAATCAACTTAAATAGTAGCCTATTTTATATACTGTATATTACACATTAATTAATTACAGCAGGTGTTGTGTCTCCCACTGCTCAGCAAAACAAAATGGTTTTGGTCAACTAATCTGAAATAATACAGTACAATACTTGATGTTAATAAAAGATAAAAAGCAAGTCAAGGCAACAATTAGGATCAAGTTCATTTATGATACATGTATTGTAAATATGTGTAGGTGTACATAAACAGCGTTATCTTGCAGTTACTTTTAAATATCGTGCTCTTCCGCCAATTTCTTTCCCATGTTTTATAAGTGTTTTGCAGACGCGTCCAAGTACACCCGAAAAAGAAAGCAATCGTTCAACCAATAAAACGTCAAACACACTCTACGGCAAGTCAGAAAGGACAGACAACTTATTTCACCTTTTGCTGACGATCCACTCTACGTCGTTCCGCCGTGGCGGAAGTGACGACAGTTCCTGACGTTCTTGCCGTCCGAGTCAGCGTCAATGAAGTGTAGAGCGTGCAGGTGGTCGCTAAGCAACCATCTCCGGGGGAACTACACACGCCAACAGTCTATAAGAAACCCGAATAAGTGCATTCGATTTCTTTAAATATATATAAATATATCTTTTACTTTTCTGATGTCGAATTCGTCAGAAAGCATTTATAACCTCATTCCCCGTGAAGAGGTTAAAACAGAGAAACCACCGAGGTAGGTAAATATATATGTGATCTGGTATTTTGTAACTTAACAATGTTTGCTTTTGGCTAACCATAAAGCAAAATTAATGGTATTTAAAACATGACATTCAAAGCAGCAACACAGCCTGAACCCAGACTGCAGCAATGTTTAGAATGTATAGATGTTTATTTTAGGATGATTATCAATACATTTATCCTCTAATTTCCATATTGATAAAAGTATCAAAATGCATGTTTAACTTGTCTATTAATTTCTTTAGATACATGTCAAAGTTTAGGGAGCAGGTAAATCAAGAAAAAGAGCTGAATAGGGCCAAGAGCAAGACCATGGGGCCGGCTAAGGTGGATGTTCCGTCCCCTGAGAAGTACCTGCTGAAACACTCCAAGGAGCCCAGGTTGCCTGAGAGTAAGTCACAGCAGCAAATCCATCCATTCCTCAGCCTTGCCCAGGGCTGTGACCCTCTAGATCCAGTGTGCTGGTCTGTCTGAAAGGCACCACCACAGCCCTGATGATCAAAGGAGGAAAATGTCATCAAAGCTCACCCACCAGGCTGCTTCTGAACCCAGGCCTGGCAGTCCATGCGCTTTCAAGCATAAAGCTTTAGATGTATTAATTAACAGTGAAGGCGCGTTTATTTCTGGTGATCGTCTGAAAAGTTCTCCGTTGGCGCAGGAATGTTCTTACCTGACTTTGCCCTTGATCTAATAGGAAAACTCTTTGCCTACAAGGACAATGGCAAGGAAAAAAAACCTCAAGTCCCCAAGAAGACGGACAAGCCCCTGATGGGCATTCACACGCAGAAGAACTTCATCAAGAACAATGCCATGGAAACCATCACAGCGGCACCAAAGAAACCGCAGGCGATCAGCGTCGACACCGAGAACGGAGATAAGCAGCTTCTGGAATCATCTGGCCTCGTCCCAAAATATGTGAAGAAAAAAGTACGTGTATCCGACTTATAGTGTCAACACATAGGCTTTGTACTGTATATATTAGGCGTGAGTGGGACTGGACTTTCAGTTGTAATTAGACAAAGGACTGTTTTATTTCTGCACAGGTGCTGGGATTTTTTTTAGGGGGCTAAGAGGATAAGATTTAAAGATTATCACATGATGGACGAATTTAGCCCTTTCTTTTCAGTTATGAATTTTCCTGACTCATTATTCCAAAACTAATGTATTAAGTGTTTCAGAATATGGTGTCTCTGATTAGTTTAGAAAAATTTAGAAGCTTTAAAGTATATAGATGCAAGAAAGTCACATTTTCCCACATTACTATTACTATCATCTCCATTTTAGAAGTGTTAGTTTTCACAGCATGTTCAGATTTCGATCGTTTCTACCCAAAGAACAGAGTAAATATGTGCTGAAAGTTGACCGGCACTCTGCAGCGTATCTTTTAACTGGCTTTCGTGGAATGCGACTCGCAGGACTACGGACAGGCCCCCGAGTACTTGCAGCAGCGCAGGGACGAGGTGAGAAGGGCCCAGCAGGCGTACGATGACTACATCAGAGAGCGGCTGCGAGAGGGGGCCATGAAGCAGGTGTCAGAGGAAGAGCGGCAAGCGGTCCTCCAGGTGCGGCCTCGCAGACGCGCCATGGCTGTGACTCGGGCACCAATCAGATGTCCAGGGTCATCACTGGTGGATATTAATGATCCACCATGGGCAGGGGGACAGTAGGGGTACAGATCCCCTGGCAGATTGAAGGGGGGCAGCACCTTAGAAGGGCCCTAAAAAGCATTCAGTTATACTTACATTTGCCCAACTTGTCACCCACCCCATACATTACATCAGAGACCCCCTCAGCAAATTTGATGGTTGTGTGCCCCCCCTTTCAAGTTATATGGTCAGGGACCCAGGGAAAGAACGTGACGACTCTAGCATGGGCCCAAGGTGACATTCTGTCAGGGGGCCCAGTATTTCTAGCTAAACCCACGACCGTGGGTATGGTGCAGACATTTCAGTGCAAGGCCTGCATCAGCGTCTGAGTCCAGCTGTGTTAACAGCTGGAATACTAGCTGATAGGTTACTAAGGTAGCACCCAGACAGATCTAGCATTAAACAGCTCAGATCCACTTATTATTTAAATAACTGTATTGTATGGTTGACCAAACCAATGGTGATAAATCATCTGAGAAGGTAAAATGCAATGTTTTAAAAAAACGTCTTCTAGATGTTGTGCATATGGAAATATGAACAATGACTGCCAAATGAAGACAGCAGTTTTCTTTTGTATTGATCTTAAAGGACAGTGTTGTCCTGTAAGCAACAGGAGCTGCAACCCACTCCTTGACTTGTGTGTTTCCAGGGCCTGAAGATGAACTGGGAGGAACTGCATCGCCAGTATCAAGGCCTGTCCGTCGTCACGGACACCGTCCTCAAGAAGCAGCGCAAGGAACGTCTGGAACGGGAGATGAAACAGCTGGAGAAGGACATGGAGCTGGTGGAGAAGAACAAGATCATATATGTCGCAAAGAGCTGAAGGGAGAAAGAGTTGAAGGGAGAGGACGGCACCTTCACACACCTCCCGACACAGGAATGCTCTCACACTCTGAAATTAATAACCGCAATATACTTCCAAATGCATTTTTTAATGAAGTGAAGTGTATTTCACTTTAGACTTTACTAAAAATTAAATGCAGTTAGTTTTATATAAGTTACTTCTAACTTTTATTGGAGCATATTCTCGGAGGGCAATGTACTTTTAAAGTTGACTAGTGTGGTTAATGTTTCCTGCACATATTTTCTTGTAAAAAAAAAGAGTTGTGTTAATATCTGAATAGCCATGAGGTCATGGAAGATGTGTGACTGTAATTCGATCGTTAACGGTGGATATCACTTAAAATTCAATGAGCAGTAGCTTAATAATTTAAACACAGTGAAGGCATGCACGGAGTTGCCGATAAATACAGTATATGTCAGACATCTGTGGCGCTACACTATGAAGGTGGCTTTGGACGTATTATTATCTGTCTGATTATTCTATTTGTTTTGGGATTATTGTTCAGTAAACAGGAAAGCGCATTCTACATTTAAACTGCCTTTGTTTGCCACAGCCAGGGATGAAAGTCTTGCTTTTGCTCTGGCTCCATCTGTATTACCAGTTGATAATAAAATTTAAAGGATGTAAGTGAAATATTAACGAAAAACGTCTTTCGAAGACGGAAATTAAGACATCGAAAAGCACGGATTACTCAACAATAACAACTGAAAGTTAGGCTAATATAAATCGTCACTGAGAGTCGCAGATACCAACATTTAAACAATAAACTTTTCAGAAACAGCAAAGAGGCGGAGAGCCCGAATTTTACACTCCTCCTTCTGCCCCGCACTCCTCCTCCCTCGCTTTCTTGATTTACTTTCTTCCCCTTCGATCCGCCTGAAGTCTGCAGCGGCAAGCGCAGGACCAACGGTATGGCAGACAGCGGGTCTGTGCGAGAGGACTCAAGGATCGTGGTAAATAGTTAAACCCGCGTTTAAACATGTGCCTAGTCACGTATTAATTACAGAAAACAAGAAAAGTAACACTTTGATATGTTATTATTATTATTATCTACAATCGGTGTGCGCACTTGGTGTTCGGGTTCGTACGGCTACGCTTGTTATCTGTGCATAATGGGTAACGTGTGGTTATTCAGCTGATAGTAATACTGCCCCATTGAACAAGTCATACACCCTTAGGGATCCTACGAAAGATATCGGTGATTAAAATAAGTATTATTAAATGAATATGATATTTTGCGCCAAAGAATTTTCTTTAGGTGTACAGCAAAAAAATCATCAAGAACAATTTAACCACAGGAACATAATGAATTTCACATGCATCTTGTCTTATAAGATGTTATTCAACATTATGACAATAAATTACTTTTCAAAACGCAAAGCATGTCTGAAGCACTTTGTGATACGCTTCAACAATTCAAGGAGGTCGTGGACCAGGAGGGGACACATCTCAGCTGAATTATTTTGCCTTTCAAATGTTTGGTCCATACTCCAGATTCAGTCACGGCTCAAGGTTCAGCCCTCAAAGTTCACGGAAAGTGTTAGTTATTTCTGTAGTCTACTCAGTTTTTGACCTCTTCAGTGAAGTAATTAATTGGACCGTTGATGTAGAGGCTTTTGCCAGGGGCAGATTGTGACGAGACTAGATCTTTGATCTTTTAGCAGCAATAAGCTGTATTATATTACAAAATATTCATCTCCTTCAGAAATACAGTACATGCCAGTGTTTTTATATTCCTCCTTTGGCCTTTCCATTTATGATTGGTTCTTTGATTTACAGATTGAAGATGATTGGCCGGGATACAGCTTAGACCTGTTTACTTACCCAGAACACTACTGTGGAGATATAGAAAGTGTCTATATCCCACACGGAATCATCATGGACCGGTAACAACTCCTTCGTGTCAGTGAAAATTTTTTAAAAAGCAGCATGGTCTCTGATTATGGATCAAATTCAAGTAAGGCTCAATACTCATTTGAGAACTGAATAGTCAGTTTGATGCTTCAAAGTGGCTTCAAATGGACACAATACAGAAAGGAACTCCTGTAAAATCAATGGAACTTTTTTTAAATACTGGTTAAATAACACTTCTAAGTACACATCAGCAACTGTTTGAATTCCTTTGAGCAATTATATGTGTTTAGTATAATGTATGTCGGAAAGTATAACTATAATACCATATATTCATGTAGAGTAATTTTAACCTTAAAACAATAAAAAATTACTTTGAGTATCAGCTCTCTATTGTGCGCTTATGTGTTTTTGAGGGTATAGTTGCATTTAGCTTTGATTTTATATGGTTTTAATGACCTGTACAATATAATGCGGTGTTAAATATGTCAGTGTTAAATTTCAGTGTTAAATGCCCTATAAAACAGAGATGACTCAAGTGTTAACATGTCAGTGTGTCACAAACAAAAGCTATATCAAGTCTTTAGGCACAGCCCAAAAGCAAAGTTTTGTGTCTGTAGGGTGTTGGGGTGCGTGGGTGTGTTCCCTTTCTCTTATGGCTCAGCTAAGCAAGATTTTGAGATATTTGCTCATGGAAATAATTGATATTTTTCTTTGTCAGACATTTTACCCCACCCATTTCTGTAACTTTTGAAATCTGCTCACCCGTTAAACACAAGGGAGCTTCCAAGAACAGCCAAAAGTTTATCCTCAGCTGGCTGAAACCACAGCTGTCCTAGATGTTCATCACTACTGGCCCTTGCCCTTCTTCTGACACATGTTGCTTAATACTACAAGCCGTTGTCTTTCTGATAGACATTCCATGCACATTTCAGCTGCATTTCCTTAAGTAGAGTAACATGACTTCCTGATTAGGTTATGTTTACTGTGTTGGAATCTTGGTGGATTAGGGCAGAGAGGACCTTTTTTCAGGCACAGCCTAGTTTGACTTTTCATTTTTTCAGGACCGAACGGCTTGCCAGGAACATCATGGACGACCTGGGGGACCATGACATCGTGGTGCTGTGTGTGTTGAAAGGGGGTTACAAGTTCTGTGCCGACCTGGTAGAGTTCATCAAGGGCCTGAGCCGCAATTCCAGCAAATCCCTCCTCATGAGAGTGGACTTCATCAGGCTAAAGAGCTACTTAGTGAGTATGGGGTCCTGCCACATTTTCCTTTTTTGGGTGTTCACAAATGTGCCTGATAGTTTTTTTTTTCATTGAGTCCCCCATGAATATCAAGTAAAAACACAATGCTTAAGGGCTGAAATAAACATGTAAATGTTCAGAGAAGTAACCTAGTTTGTGGGTAATGGGTCTTGTTGGTCTTTTGCTACCTAACACAGCCAGTGCCATTATCAATCATCCATTTTGAGCCAAACACTGTAACTTCAGTTCAAGCATGTTGAGACAGGCTGGCTGATTCCTGCTTGGAAAGGATTTTCCGATGCTATAAATTGAGACTTGGAGCAGCAGAGATTATAATTTACCCTGAAACCATCAGCCCACAAGCAGGAATATGTTTTGGTTGACTATTAACGAGTGTGTGTGTGTTTGTGTGTGTGTGTGTGTGTGTGTGTGTAATAATATTTTATAGTTTGTGTTTGTGATTTTTCCCGTTCTACTGCACAGTCTTCACTAACAGGAAGTCATTCATGGGAAAATGAGGTGAGACCAACTGGATTGGTCAAATTAATTTCCAGTCTGCTCAGGTTTGACTACATGATCAATTAAGATACTGCAATAGTTCAACAGTCACCTGGATGAGAGAAACGTCCAGGGAAACTTGTAAGTGATCCTCTGGGCGTCCTACATGAGTCTCCCATCTGTTTCCACCTCAGCATAGTCCATGCTCAGTGCTGCCCTCTGGGGGATGCCCACACTCTCGGGTAAACCTTCTCCGCCCCAAGCCAACGTGTCTGGTCATGTGATGTTGCTGGACCCCATTGCTTCGACACTCGTGTACAAGCGTAACTAAAAGCTTTTCATGGTCACTTTGATGCCTCCACCCAAGCCAGTGTGTAGCACATAACGAGTTTGGCTTTAATTAGTCATCCCTTATGCTGCCTGTCAGCCACAGAAATCCAGTCTGAAAAGCACAGACTCAACATTCAGAGTAATACATTACCATATTTCCAACCTTAGCTTAAGGATAGTCACTTTTGTGGCCTATCAACCATCATATAAACTGAATGTATATAATATGTGATTATGATGATGCCCAAAAGTAGTATGATACCAGTAGAACAGGTACTGAAATTACGAATTATGGTTAAAAATGAAATTACAGCTTCAGGTATAAAAATGGAGGAAAAATGGAACAATACAGATGAAAGTGACATTCTACAGATTGATTTTTGAATATTCCTCGTACGTGTGTCTGATCCTTTCCAAATGTTTTGTGTCACTAAGCCTGTAATGAAATACTCCTGCCAGCAGGTGGCAATGTTGTAAGACTTTAGTAATCAGAAAGCAGCCCGGTACTATTCGTATTGTGATGAATTGTTTACAAGTTCATACCAGCCTCTTTGGTAAATATAATATACTGATGGCTGTATTTGCGGGTTATTCTGTGTGAGTTACTGGAAAGGCTCTTAGCTGAATAAGATTGGGGGCCGCCGGTATCAGAGTGGTTAAAGATATAGGGTGCCCCCATATTTAAGCAGGATTCATAATGGATAAAGATTAGGAGTTAAGCAGCTAATGTGTATATACCTCTGCAAATTTACCACTCTTTTCACTTTCTGCGTGAAGTCACGTGATCAGCACTTTCTTTAAGCGCGCTTTGAATGGACGCTTGAACAATGCGCGACTGATGGCTGCACTCTAATAATACAATTATACATACTCTTCATCAGTTTTATGTGATGTGAGTCGGGGACATTGATTGTTTCTGGTCCTTCATCAACATTATCGCGACGTTATTCTAGAGATCGTGTGCGGAGCACTCGGCGAAAACTTTGCATCGTTTTTCTTAGTTGCGTCGTATTCGATCAGTAAGTAAAATAAGACCTTTATTCTGGTGCCGTAATCCATTATCCTCCCCAAAAATGAACTGTACCAGGACATACAAACACAGGGGAGGGCGCTTTTGCCAAGCTTCGTGTTTTGTTAGTACAGCCGGTCCGTACACACCCAGTTTGGCCGCTGCGCGGTTGAGGATCTCCCATCCAAAGGGCTGGAGCCTTGAATGTAATGGTTAGGGGGGAGCGATCCCACGCCAGCTCCACTGTGTTTTCCTGTGGCTTTGCGCTTGTGTCCGTTTACCGGCGCTTTCCACCAATGCATGTCCCCCCCAACCCTGGATGAAGGACTTTGAAATTTTCCAGCACGTCGAGCCTCTGCCAGTTTGGCCAGGTGGAATATAAACTCCATCCAAAGGAAATCTGACCTACAACAAAGTTAACAAGACGAGTGTTTGCATGGCAAATGTCTTCGGAGAGCCCTTTATATGCAGAAGCCCAAGCAGCAGACACTTGAATTTAAAGCTGGTGTTTAGGAAACACCCTGACTCTTCATAAGCTCCTATATCAAGTAGCCAACTTATTGATGTTAGGAATGGAAGAATACAAAGAAGCCCGAAGAAGAATAATTTTTGTAGCTCTGTTTCCTTTCTGATGGTTAGGTTCACAGCAATCAGCCTATGCTTGGTTCTGACTCAAGATGTACATGATTGTGGCTACATGCCCTTTCTTGTTTTTGCTTGTTTTATCTAGTGTATTTTTGTGTAATTTAAAGGCTTATTGCATAATGTATTGCCCCATTTACAGAAATTTGGGTTGTCGGTCATTATTTGCGGCTTGTAACGTGATGCAATATAACTTGTAGCCTGTTGGACAGCGGTGGCCAATCTTATCCGCAAAGGGCCGGTGTGTGTGCAGGTTTTTGGGATAACCTTTAGGTCAGCCGTTCAAACCCAGGTGTGAGGACTCTTCAGCCAATCAGTCCTCTAATTAATAATCTAATTACGGAGCTGCAGCGAAAACCCGCATACACAGCGGCCCTTTCTGGATAAGATTGGCCACCCCTGCTGTTGGAGATTTAAAGTTTTCTTTCCAGAACTAGCTTGTGGGAGATTAATTTGCTGGTGTCGGGTCGCTGGTATTTGGTGCTGAGAGAATGTTCCAGCATGATATAAAGCCTCAACAATCTGAGGTATTAAAGAGGAGCTTCATTTCTATATGTGCCAAAGCTAAAGCAAAATGTTGAAGTCTAATTGTCTCTGGTCCCTTACCAATTCTCTGTAGAGGGGATGTAAACTATAGCAGGCTACTCTCCCTAATCCACTGGTTGGAGAGTTGGTGTGCATCTCGCACATAACCTTTATTGATAAGTGAGACCTTTTTTGGGAATGGTTTGGCTTTTATAAACGGGATGGTCTCCATCATAATGGGATTGGATCATTTATGCTATCTCAAAACATAGCAAATAGTTTACCTGCCCAACTTCTGAGAGCACCACCCAAGCCTCAGCCTTGAGAGCTTAGATAAACATTTTATAGATTTCTTTAACAATAAAATTACAAACATTCGTCTTCAAACATGTTCAAATAGCTCACAAATAACTCTGATGAAACACAATGTGTACCAACCCTTATTGTTTTTGAATTATTCAAGGAACAGGAGTTTAAAATATATATATATAGCTAAAACCAAACCAACCACTTGTCTCCTGGACCCAATCTCCACTAAACGCCTTAAAAAATCCCTAGGAGTTCAGGCAAGACCTATAACTGCCATAATGAATGTGTCCCTGTCTTTTGGCGATGTGCCTGACCGTTTTAAAGTAGTAGTAATCGGACCACTACTGAAGAAGCCAAGTTTGGATCCACAGGAGCTCAATTACAGACCAGTCTCTAATGTACCATTTTTGTCCAAAGTTCTGGAGAAGAGAGTTGCTGTTCAACTTCAGTCATAATTGGAGACACACAACATACTGGATATATTCCAGTCAGGCTTCCACGAGCCACACAGCACTGAAGCTGTCTTAACTAAAGTTGTGAATGACATAACAATGGCAACTGATGGTTTTGAAGTGATTTAAATCCTATTTGACTAATCCATATTAATTATATATATGCATATGTTCAAGTGTCAAATAACTGTACTCTGTCATCAATGTCACCCACTCAAATATGGAGTACCGCAGCGATCAGTTCCTGGTCCTTTGTTTTTTCTGTGCATGCCTCCATTAGGTAACTTAATGAGAAAACATGTTAATAATGTTAATTATCAGTCCTACGCTGACAATACCCAAATATACACTTCAGTTATGCCTAATGACACCACAACTATTGTCACTTTAGCTCATTGCTTTAGTGACGTAAGGACCTGGGTGAGTGAAAAGTTTTATCACTAAATGCGCAAAAAACCAAGGTATTTGGAGGCAAGTCTGCAGATAGGAATGCTAATCTCCTCACTCCGCTCCAAGATGCTGAACTTTTCCCTCAGCAGCTCAGTCCGTAACCTAAGCGTCACCTTAGAAACCAGCCTCTCATTCAAATCACATGTGGATGCAGTATTGAAGGTGTGACTCCTACAGCTACATAACATTGCCAGACTATGATGAATCCTTACTATTCATGACACTGAGAAATTGATACATGCCTTTGTATACAGCAAGCTAGGCTACTGTAATGCTCTGAACATTAAACACCTTGCAGGGTATTAAAAAAGCAGCAGCAAGTTTGAACACATAACTGCTGCTCTTAGTTCCCTGCACTGGCTTCCTGTTATGTTCAGAACCAACTTTAAAGTTCTCCTACTTGTATATAAGGCACTTAATGATCTAGCACCTGCCTACCTAACATAATTACTTCAAGTTAACAAGCCACATCGTCCACTCAGATCACAGAATGCAAGTGTCCTTGTCATTCCACATATAGATGACAGAAGTGACAGTTGGAATTAGAGAATTCTGCCGAGGGCCCCTATATTGTGAAATGGTTTGCCAACCTATGTTCAGGATGCTGAATCGGTCTCAGTCTTGAAATCTCGACTGAAAACCTGTTACTTCCATTTACCTTACCTGCGACTTAATGCATAACACACCATAACCATGGCTGCTGGTGCTGCTGTACATGCCATTTATATGCACGATGCTCGTTGATTAATGTCAGGGTCATCACCCGTCTGCCCCTGCCCTTCGTGTCTCTATCCCATTTGGCCAGCAGGTGTCGCTGGCCATCCTGCCTTTTCACTCCCTTTCTAACCCTTGTGTGTTCCATTGCTCCCCACCCTATTGTATGGCTCAGGGGGTTGAGTACGGGGCACAGATGTGGTCGCCTTATAGTCATGGGTTCAGAACGAGCTTTGCCCATTTTGTTTATTTATAAGGTTTTTGCTGGTCCTAGTGTGTGTTGCAGTTATTTTGTTTCCCTGTTTGATTTGCCCTGCTTGTGTCCTTTTTGATTTTGGGTTTTGTGTAGTGTAGTCAGCCCTCTGTGTTATGTGTCCTAGTTCTAATTTTGGTGTATATTAAGGTTCCTTAGTTTCATGCTCATTTAAATGTAATCTGCCCCGCCTGTTCCTTGTTGTCCCAAGTCCTTTTTGATTTGTTTGATTATACTTTGCACGTCTTCGTTGTTTGCCCTGGTGATCCTGTGCATTTAAGTGCCTGCCTGTGTTCAGTTCCTTAGTGAGTCATTGAGTCTGTGCTGTTCTTGTGTGTGCTCAGTAGCTATGTGCTGCTCTGTTTAGTTTCTAGGTCTGCTCCCTGTGTTACTCAATTCCGAGTCTTTGCTCATTTTAGTTGTGTTTAGATTCTTGGTTTTTAGTTAATTGCTTATTTTTCCATTTGTTTTCTGACCCCTCCTGGTCCATTTGTTTTAACATATTTTCCCTGCTGTGTTTTTAGTTATATTACATAAACCCTTCTTGTGTTGGATCATCGCCTTCTTCTTGCCTGTACCATGCCCCCCTGTCGTGTACTAATGCATGATCTGACCACCCATGCTCTCTGCCTCCCTTCCCACATGTCTGGATGGTGCTCAGGGTGGGCACCATCTGAGCCGGAGCCCTGGTTTAGTCACACGGAGGGGTGACATCATGCATGTGACTTACAAAATGACTTACATTGTGGGTGCAGACTACAGTCTGTTACCCTACACAGGCCGACGTGGAGAACTGACTCATTGATGGCTTTGAGCTTGATCATAGGTTACACCTTGCTTTTAGCAAGCAAGCCCACTCTCTTTTCCAACAATGTTAGCATGCCTGGGAGCGTTGGGCAGCCAGTTGTCCTTGGACCCCCCCAGGGTTTTTATTTTCTCCCTACTTGGGAGTTTTTGGTTCTTCTTCTCTGTCATCTAGTTTTCTTTCTTTCATTTCTTTGTCCTCCATTTGTCCTGTTCCTGTAGTATTCTCTTTTAATGGTGTTGTACCAGAACAGTCCCATGTAATGTGCATTGGAGAGACTTGTAAAAGGTGCTACATAAAAATGAATTGAAATGGCATGTGGGACAGGCAAATGAAAGTTAGCTGCCAAGCACTGAGCTTGTTTTTTCTTTGAAGCATGAGCCTCTTACTTGTAACACCAGTCCTTGGAAAACCCTCTACGATTCCATGTGGTTTTATGAGTCGGCATTCTGGAAGACTCCTGTAATGTCCCAGGAGACGTGGGCTGTCCGTTCAAGGCTGTCCCTCACCGTTGGCGGAACACAAAACTGCTTCTTGGAAGAAAGCGGGCCGCGCCTTTGTTCAGAGAAACCCAGCTAATCTGGCTGGGTAGATCTTATCCGAGGGGAAATTCTGAGATCTGGGAATCCCTCTGGGAGCGTGAGGGACAGAACAGAAATTTGACAATGACATAGAAAGGCCATCTAGCCATATTTCATACTGGCCTGGGCTAAGCAAGTGTTTTGCATTAACAACATTTGCAATCGCAAAACAGAGCTTCGAGACCGATTGGACGGAAGGGCTTTCTCCTGTGTCGTCTTTTAAAGCCTTTTGTTTTTCTCACATTCCTCTCGCTCCAGAATGACCAGTCCACAGAAGACCTCCATATCCTTGGAGGAGAGGACCTGTCTGTTCTCAGTGGGAAGGTACGTACCCCCGCCCCCTTAGCAGCAAGGCAGGATCTCTGCCAACCAGCATAGGAATTCCTGGATGGATCGGAAGAGCCGGTGTGTTTTGGTTGGAGTGGCTCTCCTTCTCGATTTCAAGACCATGAGGCAGCTAACTAAACATTTCAAGAATCCTTCACCGCGGTCATGTTTTGTGGGGTAAATCCTATGGGATTTTTTTAAAACTTGCATTGTTTTAACATGACTTTTCAGTTATTTGTTTTGCTCGACCTGAATTAAGCACAATCAGTGAACCAAAGTACTCCTGAAAAACATTTTCTGTTTTTTGTTATTGATAAATTGTCAGTGATTTTGTGGCCAGGTGTAATTTCCCGAATGACCACCTGATCATTTTGCTCATGGGAGTTTGATTGGTTCAGAGATCCCCTGCAGTCTGATTGGTTATCTCTCTGAAACAATCATTTCTCCTTCTGCCCCAGAACATTTTTGTGTAAGTAAAACTCACACGGGCGATTATTTTATTCAGCTCACTGAGCACATGCATGCACTAGATGAGTGTGCCCAGCAGGGTGACAGTAACGGGCTAACAGGCTGCTGTCTACGAATTGTGACTGACTGTTTTTGAGAAGGCACTGTAAGTACTTCCACTTTCTGTGGTGTAATTTGAGACTTACCCAGACTATATGACTACAGCCTGGCCTGAAAAGATATCCACAGAAGCACGGACAACGCTCAGAGCTGCCAAGTTAATGCATTTTGCTATGTCACCCGTTGTAGTTGCATACTTGTGACACAAGGGGGTGATGCCTGGCACTGACACTTGTGCTCCATGGGGTGGCAGACAGTAGATGGCCGACACCATTCAGTGGCTAGGCAGTGGCATGTGAGCATCTGTTAGTGACTTAATGGGGAATGCAGCCATGGGGAGGATCACAGGACAGACGAGTCAGCGATGAGATGTGCTTCCACGATACCTCTCCATGAGCATCGTTTAGCCCCCAGCTGGGGGCGTGATGTGACAGAAGGGTGCGTCGACAGCCTGGCTGTAACCTCTAGGTGGGTGTAGCCTGTTAGTTTAGGGTTCAGTTTATTGCTAATCTGAAAGATCCACGACAGTGAGAGGAGGTTGCCCCAGTCACCCACCAGGACAGTGAGAGGAGGTTGTCCCAGTCACCCACCAGGACAGTGAGAGGAGGTTGCCCCAGTCACCCACCTGGACAGTGAGAGGAGGTTGTCCCAGTCACCCACCTGGACAGTGAGAGGAGGTTGCCCCAGTCACCCACCAGGAGAGTGAGAGGAGGTTGCCCCAGTCACCCACCAGGACAGTGATGGGGTTTGGACTGGTTGGGGTTTATTCAAGAGGAGGCGATCCATTCTGTCATCTTCACTGCCCCTTCTTCCTGCCACAAAGGAATCTGGATATTTAAATAACAATTTACTGAGTAATAAATGTTATCGGACGATCACTGAGCTCAGGAGAGCTGCCATGCTGATGGGTCTTTCGCCAGCCTGTTTTATGGTTGTGAAGTCTTGCCCAGGCTGGTATCTAGATGGATGTCAGCTGGATCCTCCTGCTTTTCAGGCCACTATTGTGAAGAATTGAGTTTTCTGAGAAATGGGAGCGGCTCAGTTCCTGGGAGACAGACACCAGGATTCCTGAGGATGTGACACTGCATTCCTAGGTCCGGGGTCAATAAACGTGATACTTGCCGTTTCTGGCTGTGTGGCCCTGGGGTGCGGAGGGCAAGAAGAATAGCCCTCTGTTCCCTGTTAAGGGGGGCAGCCGCGGTCTGGAGCCTTGTGATGAAACTGGGAAACGGCTTAAAATTAAGAGCCATGGCAACGGCTCTCGGCCTCAAAACAACGTCTTTTTTTGTTAGCACTGGGCAATTCATTGTTGCTGTTCATATTAATGGCCACAGCCTGAATTGAGGGATTGAGGCATCACCCAGCCTTTAGATCATCAAAGCACGTCCACCTCATCTGTGGCTTCATCCCCTCCCAGCTTCAGTTCTGTGGTCAGAAGCTGGCCTGCTTCACCCACCTGAGCTGAACCACTCAGAGGAGGAGGCTGTCCCCTGGAGTTCACACTCTCGAAATTTCCCTACAGAACCACCTCAGGAATGGAACTGACGCTATCAGATTCCAAGGTGAAACACTCCTTTCATGGTTAATTGGGCCCCCCGAGAAGACATAGTGTCCAACAGTGCCTGTAGCTGAAGTTTAATAACAATCATAAACTGTGATGTCATCTGCATCCAGTAAACAGCATGAGCCAATCAGCTAAATGTCCTGCGATTGTTTTTCTATGGTGTGAAAACTGCAAGCTTTTAGTCACGATGACATCGCCCCCAAGTGTGAAACTGCACTGCCTCATCACCATCAAGGAATGTTCTACAGTGGTGGTGCCAGAAATCCCAGCTTTTGGAGAAAATTGAGTTCTGCATGGTGCCTGGATAAGAAAAATCTATTCAGGACCTTTTTGGGTGCCGGTGGTTGTTTTACTCTGAAGATGCTGATATCTCATGCATGCCTATAGTGACAACAACATTAACTGAATTAGTTATTGATTTTAATGTGTAAGAAATCATTTTTGTTGTCCCCTTTTTATGTTATTCTGCCATCCAACGAAGAACGTCTTGATTGTAGAGGTAAGAGGCACCAAATGTATTTTTTGATTGATATACAATGTGTAGATCCTTTTTTCAAACGGCAGAGCTTTAGATGAAGTGTTCATAGTTCCACACCAAACTGTGAATGTTGCTGTCAGACATTAAGACGGTGGACCTGTCCCCCAATAGTTCAGGATGAGTACAGATGCATTTGGGGTCATTTTTGTGGCTCGAAGCCTTTTTTTAATTACATCTTTCTGGGAGGTTCTCTCTTGTTCAACATAAAATCAATATGGCTCTTTATCTGCTCCCCTTGTCACAATGAATTACATAATTGACCACTCTTAGGAGCATAAAGTAACAGAGAGAGTTTTATGGTTGTTTTGTTTTATAAGTGTAGCTTTTATATACAAAGGGATTAAGAGGAATTTCTCTGAGGAAGTAGGTCTCATTAAAACATGACAAATGATTTTGTTTTAAGGGTCAGCCATTAAACTGTGTTGTGATTCATTTGAACACTGAGTTAAAAGACAATTACTCGGAAGTTATGCTTGACCTAGTTCTTATGTTGTGATTATACTACCTAGAGATGCATTGCTCTCATTTCAGTGATGATAACAACATTAAAATCCCTCGAGCTGATTGCAGTCTGAAACTTTTACAGACGCATTTCAAAGGTCGTGGAAATGCATGAGGCCTGCCCCCCCCCCGGCCCCCTTTGCTTACTCATTAAATGCAGAGCAGTGTGTTTGCTTGATGTAATATTGAGCTGAGTGAAATTATACAGCCTGTTTTTACGGAAAAGAAGGATTCCGTTGTGCGAGGTTAGAGTTCTGAATCATATGCAGTAAGAAGGGGAAAAAACAGTCAGATTAGCCGAGAAATAAATGAAAACAGATAAGTGACATGGGGGGAAAGTCGTTAAATCTTATAACAATGTTAATCTAATAAAGAAGTGATTTGACTATCTGTAACCTCAACGGTCTCTCCTGTGCTTGACTATTACCATCAAAGTATGGCTTCCCATGTAATAAAGCCATGTATTCCATTAAAGGGTCTCAGGATGAATCAAACACGACAAATTAAAAATGAGTACTGTGGTCTAGATATCCTTATCTGGCACTAAATGGATCAGTCGCTTGTGTTTATTCCTGCACCTTAAATCTGTAATTTGAATAGGACTATTAATTTCTAAGACGCTGCCCCATTGTCCCACAGGCCATAGTTGACACTGGAAAGACAATGAAGGCTCTTCTGGAGCATGTGGAGACCTTCAGGCCCAAGATGGTGAAGGTCGCTGGGTAAGATGGCACCATCTGGCTCCTGGGAGATTCCCTGCAAATGACAGAGTCCCCTCATTTTTCATTCCAGAGAGATATCTGACATTAGTGTGACAGGGACCTATTATCCCATTACAAACAATTTTCAATGTGTATTTACGCACAAGGGTGGAAGAGACCATTCAGGGGGGTGAGAGTTTTGAGGGCTCTGCTGTTTCTTTTTTCAGTTTATTGGTGAAGCGGGTGCCAAATGGACTAGGGACCCCCCCAGACTGTACGTAGTGAATCCATCCCTAATCACACTAACCCTTAATTATATGCCAAGTAAATAACATTTACAACCCCCCCCCCCACCGAAAATAAGCTGCTCCAAATTAAAAAAAATCACTGTAACAAGTTACTCTTTATTTAAAACAGTGTTCTCCAAGAATGCTGTGGAATTCCTCTAGTTTTTACATCACTGTCTGTAAATTTGAGTATTCACTTGCCTTCTGTTTTCTCCAGATGTTGGATTTGAAATCCCGAATCGTTTTGTTGTTGGTTACGCTCTGGACTACAACGAGTACTTCCGAGACCTCAATGTAAGACATCACACGCCACATGATGTCAACGCCAGCCACTCCGTGTGGGATTTAAGAGGATGATGGTGGTTTTGCAGACCATAACTAAAAAGTGTAGTGCTTCAGTATGAGATCCACAGTTTATTTATTAGTTCATTTCCTATTTATTTAATAAAAGCCATATGCAGCCATATGTTTGTAAATGTGAGAGTATTTTATCTAGAATTCCACTGGTGTGAATTTTGTTTCCCGTAGATACAGGATGTTTGGCTTTCTTTGTAATTACATAATGGCCGGTTGAAGTTTGTTGCCCGGTTTTCCCAGACTTGCTGTTTAGTGTTGATTTAGGATATTGGAAAGATGACGACTCTGGGATGTTACTGATTTCAGTTGGACATTTCTCTTCCTCGGCGGAAGGATGACAAAAGCTAACGTTAAATATTGTTGGGATCATATCATTTATACAAGATGCTGTATAGGGTATAGCAGGCTGACTCGCGTGTTTGTACTTGCTGGTGAAGATCTACCTCTATGTCTTACATGCAAAAATCCTTTAACTGTTGAAGACATTTCATAGTACTGTCATTCTTTTAACTCCCTTAGGCAAATATATCATTTTATTGACTCTCTAATAGAGGTTTTTAGTAAAGTCAAGCCAGAGGCTTTATTTAGGCTTTTTATCAAAAGCTAATATCAAGCATCTTATTTAGATAATTTAGATCTGTTTTTACTGTTTTAGTGTTTTTGGATTTTTTCATCTGTTTTAATATTCCTATACCTTTGCCATAAATGGTGTTAAGTCAACATAACTAACATAATTATCTCCTGGGCCTCGATGTTGTGGGTCATGTTTTTATACAGTTGTCATTGGTGCCAAAATAAAGGTTTGAACCCTGACTCATGCCATTTTGGCATCAGATCAGTCTTTTCCTGGGCTCATTTTTCATCAGGGTACCCAGCAGAAAAATGCCCGTGTAACGTTTTGATGCTCGTGAACGTGGGTTCCAGGAGAAGATGGAGGAATCAAGTCAGGTTGAGAAAGCGAATGAGAGGGGGAATGTGAGTGAGAGACTGGGAACGAGCCAAGCTTCAAGAGTTGACCTTCCTGCCAATATCTCTTGTCAACGCTTCCCAGTAATCAGGCAAAACCGCTTTGGTGCAATGTTTCAGCGGCGCTGTAGATGATTACAGAGGATCTGACCTTCTCAGATGTTCGTCAGTCAATACAGTGTTTCGGTCAGTCAGGAGAGCCGGGTTTGACATGTTCCTGCTGCGCTCTGATTCCCCAATTTCCTTGCTCCTCTAGCACATTTGTGTCATCAGCGAGGCAGCAAAAATAAAATACAAAGTCTGAAGAGCAAAACCGATGGCCTGCTGCACGTGGACAAGGGAGGGTCCCGTACCCCTCCATCGATACGGCGAGAACGTAAGGACTGGCCACCGCTGGGCCAGCTGAGCTGCTTTACACGTCGAGATCCTCCCGGGACGTGGGCTGCTGCCTACCTGAGTCAAAGCGGGAAGCACTGCATGTAATCTGAGTCACGATTGGTCAATTAATACCTGCCAGTAGGAAACTGCGCATTAATAAATGCTCACTAACTTTGTGCCCTTCCCAGCTGTATCGGATTTTTAATGTAATAAACTGCTGTTCCTGCTTTCATATTACCTTTTGTTGTTTTTTTATTTCTCCCTCAGAAGTGATTTTCCTGTGACCTCTCTCTCTCTCTCACACACACACACACGCTCCGCCTCCTTATGTCGAAACTGGACCTTGCCTGAGAGCAGCCCGGCTCGCTTCAACATTAACCTATTTTTCTTAGTGTCCCAAAATGTAGTAAAAGATTCAAAGTGATTGGTTTAATAAAAGGCTAGTTTTATGCAATTTTTTTTTCCATTAGCTTTATTGATAATTTTCATTAGTGGCTCTGACCTGACATTCCATTTCTTGAGTGGATGAGATATTCTTACATGATGCCTTGATTTCTGTCCCGTGGCTTTTTATTTTGACTTATTTCACTTACTGTACTGCTGCTAGAGGTAAGATGTAATCCGTGAATGACTTGAAATTTTAATGCATTTTCACGGGGACATTTTGAATGAATAAGTAAGAATATTACTTGTAGTGATATTTTGATATATTTTTAAGTTTCATTTGCATGTTTAAAAAAGTACTAACTTTTTTATCTCAATTTTAGTTTATTTTGTATTACATTTTTTTGGTATTTTCTTTAGCATAATGACAAATGAACATACAGAATCTTTAAGATAGTAATTATAAATACATATAATAACTTATAAAGTAGAGAGTGGTTTATTTCCCCCCCCCCACCACCACTCTGTAACTGACAGGGCTCCCCCCTTTTGATCCTGATTCAGCCCCTGCATACATGTATTCCTTCCTTCAGAAGCTCATCACCAGTTTTGTTCACATTGTCTTCTGGTTTTCATTCTTTCCATCTTCCCTGTTTCCTATGTTTTATGTATTATTCCATATAAATGATGAAGTAATGTGTTACCGCACAACTATGTGATGCACCCTTGATGTGAAAGGCACTATATAGCATCCTTTGAGCATGAATGCCTTGGAGAGTCTTTTAGTCTCCAAACCAATTTTTCTACCCTGAAATTTACATTTTATTTATTTTGATGCTTTCTTCTGAAGCAGTATATGTTTTGAAATAGTAGAATCTGATAGCCCCTGGAACAATTGTGGGTTCTGAGCCTTACTCAAGGGCCTGACAGTGAAATCACTCTGCCGACTCTAGGATTTGAACTGATGACCATCTGATCACAAGCACAGTCTCAGCCTCACACTGGCCCCAGATGTACTGATGGTGAAATCTTTGCAGGATGACCTACTATCTGTTCTCTTTTCTGGAGTTAGTAATGTAGCCTTGAGCTTTCATACAAATTCTGGCACTTTAAACGTGTCTGAAATTTGTCACGTGTTAAAAGCACTGAGCACGGATGCTTATTGTGGTTTCCTCTAATCTTAGGATGAGTCTCAACTGTGCAGCTGCATGTTTTAGTTCAGAATCACTCCCATAAATCTCAGCTTTTTATGTGTCTCTAATTTCATCCTGCAGGGATGCTTGGGTTTTGTTACCGGAATCCACAATGTATGTCAGCAGTTGTTCCAACAAATATCCTCCCGGAAATGTGAATTTGACTAATTTAACCACACAAATTAGAGTCAGTCAGAAAAATATGTGTAACTTCAGAAGTCTAATAATTTTCTCATTTCTCTGGTTTATCTCTGTGTGGTAACATTGGACATCATGTTTTGTGTGTGTGTGTGTGTAATCATTTGTTTTATTTCTCTGCTCAAGGTTGTGAATGTCCAGTATCTTTGTATTGCCCCCTACTGGTTTGGGGACACGCTGCAACAAAGCAATCAGGTATACTGTACTTCTTTTCAGCTTCCCAGAAATTGCTTGGTGCTTTATTTCTCAGCCCCCATTCCCGGGTGATTTTGCTTCCCCTCCCCCCCCCCCCCCATCCCCGTTAATGTTGGATTTATGTTAAACAAATGTTGACAGTCAGTGCTGAGGACTGTCTAGCCGCTGGTGCCCTGCCTTCCGAGTTCCGCCTGCCAACAAGGTTCTGGGTGTGCCTGGATGTCCTGCCTTTATACCCTGCTGACTCCCTTAAATGCGCCGCCGACGCACCAGCGCAGCCTGCTCATCCAGAAAAAGCTCTTCTGCATGAATTCGTGCCTGCAGGGCACAGAGCAGAGCAGTGCTGTTGCTGGAATCCTGCTTGAGTTACTCATCAGAGGTGGCACCTTGGCACTGCTAACCACATCAGGCTACTTTTATTATACCACTGAGCATTTATACACATTTTCTCTCTGTTTGAAGTAGTTTCCATTTTTATGTTTTTGTATGCATGGCGTTATTTAACTCTTTATTTCCTGGAGGTAATTCTTCAGATTTTTTTAAGGTGGGGGGCATAAGAGGTGCTGTAATTCAGCCAACTTATTCATCAGCTGATGATAAGTTTTGAATCGATTAGTGACAGGGGAGGGGACACTTCAGGGACCAATCAGTTTTCAGCTGGGCCCAGTGTCCATGTGGCCCCTCCTCTGTACCTGCTGCTGAGTGACATTCAACATAATCAGCTACTACTTAATTCCCCAGAATAGGCTTGTTTTAACCTCTCCGCGCTCCTTTGGCTTGTGGTTCTGACTCGTCATCAGGTTTGACACAGGATCAGATCGCTTTACACAGTGCTTGAAGTGGGCCGGAACGCAGCGGAACGCAGTTCCAGAACTTCTGTATTTTCGTCTTTTGGGTTCCGCCACTTTTTTCTGCGTTCCGGTACTTATTGAAACTGATCCAACGCAGCGACAGTGGTCCGAGAAAATTAGAGTTCCTGCACTTATTTTTTCCCACTTCAAGCACTGGCTTTACACATTCATCACTGAAGCTGCCCTCCAATGGAAACAGGGAAGTGCCTGCAATCACGTAGTGGGTTCGTAAAACGACCTGAAAATGGGGGTTTCCAAATTGGAGACCAGAACACAGCAGTACAATCACACTCTCCCTGTGGTCTGACTTGGGTGTTGTGGTGGTGCTGCTCAGAAGGTGCAGAAGGGTATTAGTTCAAATCCCAGTCAGCAGAATAACTATATCACCTCTGGGCCCTTATCCCAAACTCCAGAGATACTGCCTGACCCTGATCCTTAACATCTGCTGAATAAATGTTTAACTAATGCGAAGATTTGCAGTTCATGAAAGCATATTTTTGGGGGCGCTGCACCTGCGTTTCTCCTCATTCAATGGGCCTCTCCGTACCTCCAGGTGTCTCGGTTACAGCAGACGGGTTTCTGAAAGGGCTCAGCTTTAGTGGGGGATGGTGGGGGTAACAGCCCCTCTCATGTCAGCCCACTGAGCCTTAAATCTACCCAGCGTCTGGCAACAAAGCGGCCCTTTGTGGCTCGAGCCCGCTGCCCTCGTTGCCGCCCCGGCCCACTTACCCCTCGGCCGACTCCGACGGGGATCTGGGGAGGGCGGCCAAAAGACAAGCGGTGATACGTTGAGCTGCTCTAAGTAATGACCAATCAGCCGCACCCTCTGCCTAAACATCTAAACCCTCAGAATCGTGGGTAAACCAGAGCTCATTCGATACGAAGCAGTGTTTCTCTCATCCAACTTTTCAAAATTGTTGTTTTTACTACAGTGTTTCCACATCAATTAAAATACCTTAGTTGGCTTTACTTAGTTTTTGCTTAATATTTGTTTTTACATGTTTCAGATTTAATTTTCTTTTTTGCTAAAACCACCCTGGTAACAGAGTAAAGTAACATGGTGTCTATACAGACAGTGGATTTCAAAATTTAAGAAATGCTCTGAAATAACAATCAACAACTTGAGTCCTATGAAATACTTCACCCTTTGGCCCAAAGCAGGCATGCTGCTGATTTGAGCTTTTCGGTCTGACTCTGCCATTTAAGGCCTTGCCTTTTTTGTTTTCCCTGACATTTCTTTTTCTCCAGAGTGGACTCTGAGGTATGTGAGTTTCCCTTTCAGCCTCGGACAAAGGATACACTCCAGCGTTGGTCTCCAGCGTGGAGGTGGGACTCCCGGAAGAATGAGTGAAAGCCAGGCATTGTGGGGGGGGTCGGGGGGGGCTCTGATTAGGATGGTGTCAGAACAAAAGCCGGAGCAGCCGGGAGACAGGTGGGCTGGTAGTAACAGGAGAAAGAATGAGACATTGGTGCGGACTGAAAGCCGGGTGCATTTTCGGGGTCCCCTTTCAGAGCGTTGACGGTGATGTGGCTGGCAGACAGTGGCAGTTGGCAGGGTTGCTTTCACGGCAGTTTTCTTTTTCTTCCAAGGCTCTGACATGTTCACGTAGAGCAGTAAGCTGATTGGTTGCTGTTGGCTAGCATGCCCCGCCCATTAGCTCCACCCCACTGTATTGGTCACACCCGACCTCTTGCGTTGGAAGGCCGTATCCCCGAGTCCAGGCCGCCGCCCTGACCTCACGGCCCAGAGCGACCTCACTGTGAACCGGCAAGATACGTGACTCTGATTAATCCAACCAAGCGAACGCCCTCGAAGCTCCTGATCTGCGTGTTGGCCGAAGGTCCTCCTAGTGGCTGGAGGAAGGCAGGGGGGGCAAAAATGAGCACTTTAGGGAGGAAGGAGCCTCAGGGTGTGAAGTATGTACACAAATGTGCTGGCAAGCCTCTCGGGGAGGGGGGGTGGGGTCAACGGGGACTCCTGCCATGTGACCTGAAACATGAGTTTGTGTAATTCCATGTGAGATTCCTCACTTGTGCCAAGAAGATTTTAAAAAAAACAAACCTCATTACAGAAGCATTTTCTCTGAGCTTTGAGACAAGACGACATTTAAGTCACACGAATCCAGAAAAAGCCCTGAAACCAGTCGCATGAAACACCTCAGCCTGTTAAAAACCTTCGCAGCCAGTACGGTACAACCGTGTTGTTTGTTGAGTTTGAATCTTCACGCTGGTTGAGGGTCATTATTCATATTTCAGCAGCTTATCCAGAACAGGGATGAGGGAAATGGGGGGGACTGGAGCTTGTCCCGGGCAGCCTGGGCCACACGGCAGGGGCAGAGGGGATGCCAGCCCATTGCAGGGCACAAGGGTGTGTTGTCACCCAACCATGTCGTGCATGGAAAAACTGAATCAATGG